TAAACCACAAAGGAGCAGACGAAATGTGCTGCCTGGTGAACCCCACGACGCCTGAGTTCCCTTCATCTGGGGCCACAGACCCCGCAGTGCACAGGGCTCTGTGGCTCATGTGTGTGCCGCACAGCGGACCCTGCCTGTCCCCATTGGGAGGCCAGGGGGATCCTGAGGCTGGACGGGGGCCCATCCTTCCTACCCCGGGCCAGGGACCGCAGAACTCAGTGTCTGGGACACCGGCACACAGAAGAGCAACTCCACACCCAGGAGGCTTTCTAGGACCAAATGAGCTCAGAAGAGGAAAATTTGTTTAAAAGTAATCTGATCCCAAACGCAAAAAGAACCAAACTGCAATGGGTTACTGTCTAATTAACTGCTCCAAAGTAGGTTACTATGGGAACTTCAGGTAGGGTTCAGTGAAGAATTCATGAGACACAGAACAAGACTCCTTGTGTCAGTGGACGGCCACTGTCACCATACTGGTTCAATATAGTTCTCGAAATATTAGCCAGAACAGTCAGGCAAGAGAAAGAAAGAAGTCACACTGGCCTTGTTTCAGAAGATGTGGTTCTTCACGCAGGAGACTCCCCCAAATCCACCAGGAGATTCTAGAATTAAACAAGTTCAGTGAGGTAGCAAGACACAAAATCCAGCATTCCTGTATACTAAAAATGAACTCAGGAAAATAATTCCATTCATGACAGTGTCAAAAAATTAAGTATGTATGAAGTAGAAGCCCTTTATGATGAATCTATGATTCTCTGAAAAAGTAACATTAGGAGCTGGAAAGACACCCTCGGCGGCAGAATGGCCACGTGATCAGAGCAGCATCCCGACACGCAGGGGAAGCAGGAGCCTTTCACACCGCCGTGGGAAGGAGAAGCTGCAGCACGGGATCAGGGGCTGGATGAGCCCACACCAGTCCCCAAGATGAATGCCAGTGTCCTGCGTCACAAACTCCAAATGCAAAATGCATCGGAGATCACGAGTGAGGTGCATCCCCTCCGGCAGGTGACCCCAGGCTGCCTCCTGCAGGCGGAGCACTGAGGCGGCCCAGGGAGGGTGCACTGGGCTGCAGGGAGACACCGCCTCCAGGCAGGACAGCTGCCGGCACTGCTGGACCTTCGGCCTGATGGCGGCCAAGTCTGAGCGAGGCCTGGGACTGAGATAAGGAGCACTGAGGAGGAGCCGAGCTCAGATGACACAGCAGCCAGGCCCTGGGCGCCCCGGGCCCCCAGCTTCCGGGGCGCAGCCAGCAGAGGCAGCTCTGACCTAGTCCACTTGGTGTTCAGTCACGTCCCCTCCCGCACACCCCAGCTATTGCTCAAGGTCTCTGTGTAGCCCTGAGTCCCGAGGCAAAAAGAGACTGTGCTGGAACTCTCTCCTTCCCCCGTCCCCCCACTTCCTTCTCAGAGGACAGGGAGAATGCAGGGTACACAGCCCAGTGTGGATGCAAGGGGTGCAGGCCTGTCACCCCCACCCACTGTGGGGTGATCAGGCTCAGCCTTGCGTAGATGGCTGTACCTTCCACCGGGCCTGCCTTTATTCCCGGGAGGAAAGCAAAGACCCTGGAGTTTGGGGCAGAAGCCAGGGGGAGAAGTGCGGAGCAGGTGGGGAAGGCAGTCCCCAGCCCACCGCCTCCTGGGGGCAGTAAGGACAGCTAAGGCTGGCAGCCTGCAACCAGGCGACAGTGCAGTCACAGGGAGCCCGCGGGGCTGCTCAGTAGGACAGGGAAGAGGAAGAGGAAGCAGAAACCTTCCCTGGCTCTGAGCGCCAAGCCTCCGGATGCTTCTAGCTCGGGAGTGGGGCTCGGAGGAGGCCTGGACACCCCGAATCTGGCCGCACACTGCACACTAGCCGTGGAGGAGGGAGGAGGCAGCTGGGAAGGGAGAGGGGTGGAGGCACGGCTCTCAGGCCACAGCTGGCTCCTCCGGCGCTGTGGGTCCCGCTGCCCACGCCGGGGCAGGGCAGGGCCGTGACCACCGGGCTGAAGATGAGTCCCTTCCTCCTGCATGTGGGGACCCCCCCCCCAACGGCCCTCCCGCGCGGTCCACAGGATGATTAGCATGGTCCAGCCTCTGCTGGGACATTATGGCTTAAATTATTCCTATTAGTTTCCAGCTGACCTTGGAACACAAACATCACATCTGATTTCAATGAAACCTTAGCCGCTGTTGTTCTCAGTCAGCTAATGAAACAGCTGAACCTTCCCGTGACTCTCGGTAATTACAAGGAGGAGTCCGTGTACCGGGAGGAAGGCAGCCCTGGCCCAGGAGCACGGTGACAGGCGCAGGCGCCCTGGAGGAGCGAGGTGGCCCGCGGCAGGGGAGCGGCCAGGGCCCAGGACACTGCCCGCCCCAGGCGGCCCAGAGCCCGCCAGCACCCGCTGATTAGGAAAACGAAAGTGCCTGGCCAGGGGGGAGGCCCTGGCCTGGCCGGGCTGCTGTTTGTGTGTGCGGAGGTGTAGAACAGAAACCCCAAATTTGACAGATTTCTCCATCCTAATTTAGTTCGAAAAGTTTAAGAGTTTATGCCACCCTCAAACTGTATCCAAACCCCGTGGGCTTTCACATCAAGCCTAATGACCTCCGCCAGTAGGGGGTGGAGGGTGGGGCGTCCAGCCTGGCCTCCATCGGGCACAGCCTTGCACACAGTAAACAGTAAAGCAGGCCCCAGCCGCCACCTCCAGCTGGCTCCCACCTTCCGACCGCCCCTGGGAGGTTCCTGCAGCACAGTGCCCGAGGCCCTGGACACCTCCTGGTCTGATTTCCCGATTTCTGGTCCTGTCACTTACAAAGGCCAGGACTCTGCTGTGCACCTCGGATTCTCGGTCAGCCCTGTGGGCTGTGTGAGGGTTATGTGGGGTAGGGTGGAGGACTGTCCCTGAGCACCTGAGTGCCTGCACACAGTGAAGCGTGTTCCCCGTTTCCTGTCTCACACACCCGGGGTTCCTGGGCAGCTAGCAAGGAGAAGCTGGTCACCAAGCACCAAGGGCTTGCCCAGTAGGTGGGCTGCCTGCCAGGTCTCCCTGGATGCTCTCGGGAGGTCTCCGGACAGAGCACCCCATCCCTGCGAGCCCTGACCTGGTGCAGGGAGAGGCTGGGAGTTCCCAGGAGCCCCGTCAGCCATGGAGCGCTCTCTGGGACACCCACGTTGACAGCCGTGCGGTTCCACCTCAAAAACATGTTTTCCTTGTCTTGTGATTATTTGGAGCAAACGGACATCGTTCTCACCGAGCTTAATTTTCTGAATGAAAGGCGCCCCCTTTGCCGCATGCACAGCCAGGGCTGGGGGAGAGGAGAGCTTTTGGCCACCCCGCTCTCTGCCAAAGTTGTCACTGATTGGAAGAATCTGGTTTCTCCCCGACTTCTAACCACATTTTAAAAACTTGTACAAAGTGTTTCCCGGTTTCTGTTCTAAGTGATGTCATTCCCCAGGAACCTAAGTATTCAAAGAGAAATCATGATAAAAAAATGTACTTTTAGGCCACAAAGCACAGCATAAAACTGAGGCTATTCAGTTGTTTCTAGAAAAAATAATTGCTTGTATACTGAATGCTTGATGTTAAGCTCTAGGGTTGGGGTAAGGAAATGTGGGTGAGTTTGTAGGGTGATATCCAACAGACACACAGGGGCATTTTGAAGGACAGCAATAGTGACCTCGATAAATAAGGACCAAGGATTTGGAAACCCAGGGGGAGACTTCAAGGGGATCGTGTGTGGGATGCCAGAGGCACACCCCGCCTCACGAGGAGACACACTGTGCCCCCATCAGGGTCTCGGGGACCTGTGCCACTGCTGTCTTTCTAAAGCCAGAAAGGAAGAAACGGGTCCCGGAAGGGCAGGGAAAGGCCACATCCTCCACCCTCACGCAAGCTCTGAGGGCCCAAGGGCCTCTGGTGGGGTTTCACTTCTGAGTTCTCTCTCTCTCTTTCTTTCCTTCCTTCCTTCCTTCCTTCCTTCCTTCCTTCCTTCCTTCCTTCCTTCCTTCCTTCCTTCTTTGCTCACTGTTATGAGAATAAATCCCTTAATTGCCTCATGGAAAGCAGCCTGCCATTCAACCATAGAGAAAATTAAAAACAAGAAGCCCCTGGGTGGTGACGCATGCATCTCTGTCCTTGTCCGCTCTGCGTCTCTCATTGTCCCACTGAGCGTGCTGTACCACACCACAATGTCGCCAGCAGGGACTGCTCTGCTGACTTCGCTCTTCCTGGACACCTCCTGACCTGGACTTCCTGGGCAGCCTTTGGCTTCCCTCCCACTACCCAAACCACTCCCCACACCCCTGGTGCTGCTGAGCGAGGGCTGAGCCAGCTACGTGAGGCTGAGGCAGTCCAGCTCCTGCCTGGCCAGCTCTGCCCAGTAATCCTTTCCTCTCCTTCTCTTGTCAAACTCCAGCATAGGCCCAAGGGCTGGCTCTGGCTTTTGTCTTCCTCCTCCAGGCACCTCTGGGCACCTCTGTCCCCATCAGTCCCTGTGCCGTCTGGAGTGTCTGCAGGTGTAACAAATTCAGTGTACTCCTGCCAACCCCAACTCTTGCCAACTGGTGTGGGCTTTTCTGTGGGGCGGGATGGAGTTCACACGGGACCCATACACAAGGCCACATGGCGGGGAGGCTAGGGAGGTGGCCCGCCCCGACAGAGGGACCCACGGGGCAGCCCCAGGGCACACCCCTCCCTTTGGACTCTGATCCCCTCCAAAACTGCCTTCAGCTCCTGGGTCCCAGGAGACCAGGTTTAGGGGCACACTGCCTGCCACCTGCTGGGCAAAAGCCAGACTCTGCTCTGCAGTGGGCGCCTCACTGCTGCCCCGAGGCTAGGTCCTGGCTGCTTCAGGGCCGAGGCAGAGGGACTGTCCTGCCTGCCTTGGGCACTGTGGACCTGTGCTGCCTGTGTGAGCATCAGGACATCCTGAGGTGTCCTCTCACATCCCGGGCCATCCCCTCAGGACTCCCTGCAACCCAATAAGCCTCTCAGCTGTGCTCATAAGTGTGGCTTTGTTCTGCAGGTGTGCACCACGCTGACGTCCACAGCGATATCCTGCAGCAGTGACCCATCCACGCTGGTTTTACAGCAGCACAGCTCCGGGCAGCCAGACCTTGGAAGCAGCCCACGTCCATCAGCCGCGGAGAGGATAAAGAAGAGGCAGCATTTACACCATGGAGCGCCACCCTGCCGTAAGGAAGAACATACTTGAGGCATTTGTAGGAAAATGGATGCACCCGGAGACCATAATGTTACGTGAAATAAATCAGGCACGTAAGTGTCAGTACTGTATGGATCCTCTGACATAAAAACACAATCATGGCTAAAAGAGCAAAATAAAAAGTGTTAGGCATACACACGGGCTGGCAGCAGGACTCTCCCACAGCAGCCAGTGTACGCCAGGAGAAGCAGGCCCCGGAGAAGCTGTGAGTGTCTAGAGAAGCCTGCCACACTCCCCGCCGCCTCTGGGGACCTGGGTGAAGAGAAACCCAGGTGCCGGACCTTCTACACTGTGGATGGGGAGTCAACGGGGAGCGCCTGGGAGCTCACAACCCACTCGTCCAGAGGAACCACGCAAAATGCAAGGTGAAGGAGCAAAAGGCCATCTCTGGCCTCCAGCCCAGACAGAACAAGGCCAGGAGACGTGGACAGGGAAGGAGGGAGCTGCACACCCGGAATTTCTGGATTGATGGCAGCTGAATAAAGAGACCGCGCCATGAGGCTGTAAAAACAATCAGAGCAGAATTAAAACCTCAGGTGAAGGAAATCACGAACATAATAAAAGGGTTGCTGAGCGTCTGTGAGGAAGACATAGACTTAAGAAAAAGAGGAGAATAGAAGGAGGAAACCTTGAGTGAACCCTAAAGAGAGGCATCGGGATGCATGAAGCTGACTCAAAGAGATCCAGGAAATTAAAACCTCCACTGAAAGCTGGCAAAACTGCTTGAAAGAAACTGAAGACAGACTTTCAGATGTTAAAGACAGGATGGCAGCTAGTGATCACAAAGGAAAGATCTCTTAAAAATAATAAGGAACCAGGAAATAATAATTCAATGGCTACAATTGGCTCAAAGAAAAATAACTTAAGAATGAAAAAGCAGGAGTCATCACAAATGATATAAAGACACTATTTATAGAAGTCACAGCAGAGACTGTCCCATGCATGAGAAAAGGATCTGACATAAGTGAGCTATACAGAACCCTAAGTAGCCATAACCAAAATGAATCTACACCCGGACATATAATAATCAAGATCCTGGAAATTCAGCACAAGAACAGAATATTAAAGGCTTTTAGAGAAAAGAAACAGATCACCTATAAAGGAAAACCCATCAGAATCATGACAGGCTTCTCAACACAAACCATCAAGTCAAGAAGAGCTTGGAGTGAAGTATTTCAAGTCCTGAAAGAAAACAACTTCCAACCCAGATTGATGTACCCTGCAAAACTATCTTCCAAAATTAATGGTGAAATAAAGATACTTCCATGACACAGAACAACTTAAGGAATTCATGACCACCAAACCAACCCTGAAGGACAGTCTAGAGAGAGATAAAGCTGACCCTGGTCCCAGGGACAGCAGCAGGGGGGTCACCAAGTGGAGCGGACAGCTGGATGGAGGGAAAAGGAGGGAGCCAACAGCAGGAAAAAGCCGGCAGAGATGAGCCAGAGCACACTGGTCATAATCACTAATGCAGAGGCCGCGACTCTACCAATAAAAAGCAACGCAGGCAGAGTGGACCAGGGGACAGATCCATCAATATGCGGTAGACAAGGAACACACAACTCAAAAGGAAATCCACAGACTGAAGTCACAGGAGGGAGAACAATGCTCCACGCAGCAGGGAACCAGGAAAAAACGGGGGAAGCTTCTCCATCAGCCACAGTATGGACAAGAAAGGCACGGCATTCTCAGCCACGGGAAGCTCCTGGCTATAAAGAAGGATAATCACGAGGCTCCTGTAGGTAAGTGGATGTAACCTGAGAGCGTGCTCTCGGGTGAAATGGTCCAGACCCACGTGGGGGAACATCGTGCTGCCTCCCGTATAAAAAACTAAAGGAGTTGGCGGGACCCGAAGTGTACAGTAGATATTGGGGAAGTGAAAGGGAGGAAATGTCTAAAAAGGTAAAGTGGTAGCCATTGTTAATTCCCTATTATTCTGTTTTAAAGTCCTGTATTGTTTTCATTGTCTTTTTTGATTAGCCTTATTCTGTTCTGTTTTATGTGATTTTATTAGGTCTGAAGGTATAGGCAGCTATTTTGAAGATAACAAGAGGCATTATGGTAGCCATTGTTGATTTCCTGTTATCTTGTTTTAAGTCCTGTGTCACTGACATTGTTTTATTTTGATTGGCTTTCTTCTGTTTTATTTTGCTTGGTTTTATTCTCTTCAAAATAATAATTTTAAGAAAGCTAGGTGATAGGAAACAGAGAGCTGGGCCTTTTGCAAACAGGAGTGGGGCCTAGAGATGGAGGGGAAAGGCTGGAACTGGAGACGAGGGAGGGACTCGGGTGCGCTCTGTACCTGTGCCCGCTCCACGCGCGGAGTGGGATCGCTGTGTGCTGCAAGCGTGGACTGACAAAACAGAAAGCACTTTTGTAAGCGCTCACAGAGAAAGATCCAGAGTTTCCTCGTTTCCCAAAGGTCTCCCAGCCCAGAAAGGCTAGAAGATGTACCGTGCCGAAACTGAGCGCTCTTTTCCGCCACACTGAAGGGTTAACGGGTGTCTCGGCCACCAGAGGCTTCGCAGGCGTGACCTTGGGCGGGACGTAGAGGATGCTGCCCCTACCCCGGTATCTTGGAGCGCAGTTTCATCCCTCTCTGTCCATCTCCTCACACGTGTTTTCTGTATTCTAGGAATTCTCCAACATTTTTGACCAGCATGTGTTTTCCAGCCTGGTTCTGGTTCCATTTAAAAAAAAAAAAAACCCTTGCTGTCATTCCCAGAACTTCGGAGGAGGAGGAGGCAGCCACCCCAGTTCACGGTGCCATTGTAAACCAGAAGTCCCGGCCCGAAGTCAAACTGTGGTGTTTCCAGCAAGCACTGCTAATAGGAATAAAGGACGGGGCTGCTTCTGAGCTGTCTAAGTACCACGGCAGCAAATGAGAGCCTTGGATGTAAGATTTTCCCCCCGGGCATGGCATAAGAACTTAATAAATAATGGTCCTCGGGCTTCAGAAGCACGGCTGAGCAGACCAGGGACGTGTCAGAGAGGGCTGAAAGGAGGTAATAAAGATGACTCGAGGCTTGGGTAATGGGGTATTTGAGGAGAATAAACAGAATTAGGACTATTTATCTTCGCCAAATAAAACTTGGAATTGTCCTAATATAGTAAGGTTTCAAGTGGATAAAGCACTAATGTGCAGATCAAATTTTCTGTATCTCTGTTAAGGCCAAAATAAGTAGAATCTGACTTTAACTGCAAATGAAAAGGAGAAGGGAAAGAGCCTTGGGGGGAGCGCACAGAGGGCTCTGAAGGCCACGGAGGCCAGCACAGGGAACGCGCTCGGGAAGCCCTGGAGGGGTGCCTCGCCATCTCCGCCTAGAGACAGGATAGGCGGACTCTGCTCCCCAGCCCCAGGGCCTCTGGCACCGTGGACCCCGCACCTTTCTCCACAGGGTGCCAGGAGCTCACCTGGAGAGGCTGAGGCAGGGATGAGGGGCATCGGGTGCTGCCGCCAGCTACTGAAAAGCTTTTCCACGGCGCCCGCAGCCCTGCTCGGGAGCTGTCTGCTTGCCATGGTGTCCCCCAAAGACAGTTTTCCAAGCCGCACTTGAGGAGTGGCCTGACACACACCCCAGCAGCTTGTGTCTCCGACTCAGCTGTCTCTGGCCAGCGTCCCCCCCTTAACGATGGCCCCGCCTGTGCAGAAAGCAGAAAAGAGAGAAATCGCTTTTGGTAAAAACTTCTTTTTGCCAAATACAATTCTGGTTGTCTGAACGTAGTGAGCCCTCAGATGCACACAGCACTACTGTGCAGACCAAGTTTGCCTTTATGTCCCCCGGGCCCAGGAGAAGCAGAAAGGGGCTTTCACTGCACAAAGAAAGCTGCATGCGAAAAAATACCTGTGAAACTTTGTGCAGGTGACGGGGAGCAAGAGACAGGGTAGAAAACAGGTCGCCAGTTCTTAGGGAAGTCAGGAGGCGCTTGTTGACAAAGCTGCCCATAGCTCAGTGACAGATCTGGTGAGTCAGGAATCCGGTTCTCTCTCTGCACCCCAGGGAGCATCTGATGGATCTCACAGAGCACAGGAAGGTCCGGCGTGGATGGTTGTCCCGGCCCGAGGGTGAGTCAAGAGAGGCTAGAGGGGGAGTGGGGATGAGAAGGGACAAGAGACACGAAGATGGAGACAAGACAGGATTCTGATCAAGTCTCATTTATTCAAAGAAAGAGTAACGAATATATAGGGTATTGCGGAGGAGGGATTTGGGCTCTGAGATGTTAGCAGGTAACCTAGCAACAGTGGCAAGACCGAGGGTTACAGGGTAGTTCAAATCTCCCGCAAGGACTCATAAGGCGAGCTGATTAGCATAATCCCTGAATGGGCCAAACAGGCTAGGCAAAGAGCTACTGCCTGTAGATATAGGTGGCCACCAATTACAGGGCTTCCCACAGATGGTGACCTAGCTTGGGGGCCTGAAGCATCTGCAGGGCTGCCCGTCTCCTTGCCCTGATGCGGAAATGGGACAGCCTTGAGAGCAAGGGCATTTCCTTGCTAGCCAAGCACCCGCAACTAGGCAGGAAACACATGAACCAGCTTCCTCTGGAGGCCAGAAGCCAAGGGCCACCAACACCTTCCTCCGTTCCCTCCTCCCTTCGTCACATCTCATGAGGCATTGACTCTGTGTGACACTGGCTTGATGCGGTCAGAAAAAGAATTTGACTTACACCTTAATGGTTACCACAGGGCACAGAAGTTGCCAGAAAAATGCCAAAGAGCCACAAAAAATGAAGTTCCTGAAATATCAGCCAAGGACCCAAGAACTTACTGACGTCCCCGTGGGCTCTGCCAGAGACCAGCTCACGAGGTCCAGGGTCCTTCTGGGTTCATCGAGGGGTCCCAGCTGAGGTGTGGAGTCCAGCACTGAGGGAAGCTGAGGCAGGAGGTGGTACAGTTGAGTCCTGCCTGAGTCACTCAGCATACCATACCCTGTGTTATGGCTGATACACTGTGTCAGCCTGAGCAGTTTAGAAGTTTAACTAAGCAGCTCAGCAGGGAGCTGGAGTCTTTGCTTTGTAAACATCCTGAGCCTGTGCAAGAGGGCAGGAGATGGTGTGAGCGCTACCCCACCCTAGGGCTGCTAGGCTGGTCTCCCTGCTTTTACTCTGGTTGATCTCACTGGCTGCTGCCTTGAAGTGTTGCCCTGGTGCGGTGTCATCCTGCTTTGGAGCCAGCTGAGCATGGACTGAAACCTCCACATACTGTGAGCTAAGTAAACCTTGCCTTCCTTCATTTTGGGGGTCAGATATTTTGTCCTAGCAATGAGAAAAAGTAACCAAGACACCCTGCCTCAAACAGTAATGATAATAATAACAGGTAAGTGAATGAAAGAAATTAAAAGGGGCAGGAGTAGCTCAGTGGTAGGGTCTCTGAGTTCAATCCCCAGTACAAAAAAAAAAAAAAAAATTAATGACTTTTCTTTGAAGGAGTCCCCCCTACACCCCTGCCCATCCCGCCCTGTCACCATCCTGCTGGGAGGACAGCAGGATCCCTATCCTGGAGCCAGAGGCCCCTGAATCGGAGTCCCCGCCACCCTCCTGAGAAGCCCTGGACCTCACATCTGCACACTCCCCTGGGTATGAGCGTGGGCATGGGCATGAGCTGGAGCCACTGCCAGCTCCCCTGGCCTCAGTCTCCCGGCCAGGACCAGGCCCGAAGCTCAGCAGGAAGTGCATTTCCGCAGCCCTTTCCCTTGTCCAGGAGAAAGGGAGCTCAGACAGCCTAGGACACGGGCGCCAAACTGGTGGCACTCACCAGGCAGGGTGTCACAGCACAGGGAGAAGCCCTGCAAGGTCGAGAGGAGCTGCTGGCTGGCACGGGGCAGGTCCTCTCCCATGGAGCCGGAGCTCGCTAAGCTGTCCACACTTCTAGCTGCAGCTCCTCGCAGCATCCCCCAAGGCTGGGTTAGAAAGTAGCCTCAGTGCCCCTGTTATCCTTGCTGTTCTCGAGGCTGAGGTGGGAGGATCTGCACGGAGAATCCAGCCTGAGCATCTTAACAAGCTCTGGGGACGTGGCTCAGGGACAGCATGAGCCCAGCTCCATCTCAGTTATGGTGGCGAGCAGGGGTCAGGTCTCACCTCTAGAACTTCCCTTCAGTAGATCCAGAGCAGGGTCTGAAAATTTGCCTTTCCATTTCCAGCCTCCTTCCCTCCACTGTACACTGGGCAGCCAGGAGGGCCAGGAGTGGTCAGTGGGGTGGACAGTGGTGCTGTCCAGAGGCCCCTTCCATTGGCCCCTGTATGCCACACCTGGCCATGTCCTAGCTTCCCAGAGAAGGGCAGAGACATTGCAGACAGCCTGCCATGCACAGCACCACGCAGGATCTCCGCTACCGAGATCAGTTTGGAGCCTGGGAAACCTGAACCCCCAAAGCCGAACTGCGGCTGCCCATTGCTAACAGGCATCAGACGTCTCCACCCTGTGCCCAGGAGGCCCAGGCCAGTTATGCCCAAGTCTGGGGTAAAACCCAGGTGATCCTGGTTGTAAAGCTCTCCAGTGAATCTGAAATGTAGCGGAGTTGAGAACTCTTCTAAAGTGGGAACATGTGAGCAGGAACAGTGGACAGCAGCGCTCGTTAGGGTGCTGGCTCCGTCATTCCTCGTCCTCCTCATCCCGAGGCCCTGCCCTCAGGCCCTCATCCTCTGGCGCCAGGGTCGGTGCCACCCTTAGATTCCATGTGCGCCATCACGCAGTCTGCGTCCTGCCCTCGCTGGCCTCCTCCATCTACTAGGCGTCCCTCCAGGCTGTCCATCCCGTTGCTTCCTCAGGGCGGGTTCTTCGTCCACCCATCAACGGACACTTGGGTTTGCTGGGTCACGTGGCACTGTGCTGTGTCAGAGCTGAGGGGCCCCTAGCCTGTCCTTATTATAGCAGTGGGTTCCCTTGAGTCCACATCCTCAGCAACATGGTCACCTCCTGACCTTTTGGATGGCAGGTGCGAGGTGACACCTCACCATGGTGAGATTGGCGTTTCCCTGATGATTAGTGATACCGAGCACCCTTTCAGGCATCTGCTGGAGAAACATCTATTTGGGTCCTTAGCAATTTTTAATTGGATTATTAATATTTTATCATTGTTACGTTGCCATTGAGTGGTAGAAGTTCCTTATGCATTTGGGGCAGCGGCCTTTACCAGATGTGTGGTTTGAGGACACTTGATCCCCCTTCATGGGTGCCTCAGTTTCACTGTTCCCTTTGCTGTGCATATTTTTAATGTAGTTTAGGAACACAGGTGGGCTGTTTGAAAGGAAGGGTGTACCAAGGATCCAGGAGAATTTAGGAACTGAATTTCTAAATCACAAGATGCTGAATACTGAAAACCAGTGTTAGAACACAGGGAAGGCTACCAAGCAGACCCAGCGTGGGCCTGGATTTCTAGCTTACGTGTTTTTGCTTTTGTTGCCTCTGTTTTTGGTGTCATATTCAAAAACTCACTACCAAGACTAACACCAAGGAGCTTTTCTTCGATGCTTTCTTCTAGGAATTTTATGGTCTAAAGTTTTAATTCATTTTGAGTTAATATTTGTGAGTGATGTAAGATAGGGTCCAATGCATTTTCTGCTTGTGGATTCATATCTAGTTTTCCCAATGCATGTGGTACAGAGTGAACATGGTTAGTATCTCCCAGAAGTCTGTGAGTTGCAAGCCTGCACCCCAAGGCGAAGCTTTTGGAGGTGCCTGGACCTTCAAGGGGCGGTCTGGGGGAAGGGCCTCAGGTCACAGCTTGAGCTCTGCAGGGACTGTGGAGTTGCCTGATGGCCTGCTCTCTGCTTCCTGGCTAAAGGAGTGGGAGGCCACCCTACTACATCCTCCTGCCATGATGAGCTGCCCCAAAGTAATGAGGCAAGGGTCCTTAGACTGGACCCCCCGGAATATAAGCTAAATAACCCTTTTCTCTTTATAAGTGAATTGCCTCTAGCATGTTGGTGTAGTAACATGACACTGACAATACACCATTTACTAAAGAGACTCTTTTTTTTCAGGTATATTCTTAGCTTCCTTGTCAACTATTGTTGACTGGATATGCATGGATTTCTTGGCTCCCTATTTCACTGATCTATATCTAAAATGTCCCCCCAAAACTCATGTTTGGAAGATCAAA